AGAAACGATGTACAAATGTGCTTTACACAATTGATGTGTGTATGGATTGGGATAACAGTTGTATGAGCCCCTAATAAAATGTTAAAAAAAAATCAAGAAAGCTGTTTGTTGAGGTTGTATCCTCTCATCAGACTTATTCAATCTGTATGCTGAACAAATAGCGGAGAAGCTGGATTATCTGAAGAAGAATGCTGCATCAGGATCGGAGGAAGGCTTAGTAACAACCTGCAGTATGTCGATGCCAGCCTTGCTTGCTGAAAGCGAGGCCTTGGAGCACTTCCTGACGAGGATCAAGGACTGCAGCGTTCAGTATGGTACAACTCAACGTAAAGAAAACCAAAATCCTCACAGCTGGACTAACATGTGAGATCGGGATAAATGGAGAAAAGATTGACGTCAAGAATTTCTTCCTGCTTGGATCCACAATCCATGCTCATGAAACCACCAGTCAAGAGATCAAATGATACACTGCACTGGGTAAAATGCTGCACAAGACCTCTTTAAAGCGTGGACTAACAGGGATGTCATGTCGAGGAGCAAGGTGCACCTGACCCAAGCCGTGGTGTTTTAAACGGCCTCCTATACAGGTGAAAGTTGGACACTGAGTAAGGACGTCCAAAGAAGAATCGCTGTGTTTGAATTACGTAAGGTGCTGGCAGCAAGGTCTGCCATAAGAACAAGTAAATCTGTCTTGGAAGAAGTACAGCCAGAATGCTCCTTAAAGGCAAGGATGGTGAGTATTTTGGACGTGTTATTAGAAGAGACCAGACCCTGGAGAAAGACCTCACGCTTGGTTGAGGGGCGATAGAAAAGAGACGATCCTCAACAAGACGGATTGGCACAGTGGGCTCGAGCACGGGAACCACGGCGAGGGTGGTGCCGTGTGTCCAGGCAGTGTTTAGTTCTGCTGTGCAGGGGGGTGGCTCGGAGGGGCGGGACCCACAGCACCGAACCACAACATCAGCAAAGAGTCCATGACCTGCCTTTTTTGTTTCATGAGGGTGGCCAGTTGAGTAAGATAATATTAAGAAGTTTTTGACCATCAGAGAAACATGGGGCATGTGACAAGAGGGAGGAAGAGGGGAGCGGGGGAGAGGCAGAGAATGAATGCAGAAGGAGCTCTTTTGCACCCACTCCTTTGTCTTCCTGACTGCTGTTTTCCAGCATGGAGACAATTCCAACTCTGAGTGACCTCACAGGACAGAGATGAACTGCCCTATACCATTTCTTGCCGGTAATCATCATGCAAGCAGACCACCAAGATATTCCCTAGCAGAGCCATTGGGGTGGGGGTTGGTTAGCAGCTGAGTGCTTAACTGTTGTGCCACCAGAGCGCCTGTCTTCCTTGTACTTACCTTCATTCTCATGTCCCTGGCATATTTCTCTAGCTCCTTCCTTATGTCGGCCCTCAACATCTTTGAGACATTGAGGACGATCTGCTTCCACTCAATGGGCTGGAAGCTATGAGGCTCGTGGGGAACGTACAGTCCAATCTTGACCTTCTTGACTGTATGCAGGTACTTCTTGTAGGAGTCTTCAAAGTCAAAGATGAGGTCACTCAGAGTCCGAAAGGTCAATGGCTTGTCCATCAGCTCAGCCCTTCGGCTCATACCAAGGGAGCCATAGCGGCCATTGCAATAAATCCCCAGCACAACATGGTGGAAGCAGTTTCCTGAGAAGTAGGTTTTAAAGCTGATGGGGAATCGCTCAATGGAAGGCTGCCCGTTGGTGAGGTATCTTAGACCATCGGAGTCAAGGAAAAGGAGGCCTTGAAGACACGGAGCTCTTGGTTCCCCAGGGAAGGAAAATGGCCCACACGGTCAATGAGGCCATCCCTCAGCCCCAGGAGGCCCAGAGCACACCTTTCCAGACTAGCGCTTTAACAAAAGGCTTACACGACAATTTCAAGTACTTACTACATGGTGCAAACCAAAGTCAACCTCAGACAGGAAACGAGAAAGCTTGGTCTTCTTTCTAGTAGTTAAATAAATGCGAAAGGAAATGCTCAGAAGGTACTCTTCCCCCACTGTGGCTTTCTACAGGAAGTGAGAGGTCGCAGTAAACCTGACAGAACCGCCTTCTTTTTCTGGGTCGCCTACATTTTCCACCATTGACAGGATGCAGTCTTACCACGGTGCTATTGCTCTGTTTGCAGAAGGCATCTGAGCTTTCCATCTCTGAGAGGATTCCACCTCACACAGGTTCTGGTGTTCACTGACTGGATTCTCTTGAGGATGTGACCAGACCTTATTTTGGAACATCAAACCTGGCTGCTGGGAGGCTGGTGGGGGGGTGGGGGGCAGTTGGGGAACTCCTGGAGGCAGGTGACAAGGAAAAGCAGAATCCAAGGAGAGGCAGTGGTGACACAAAAGAGGCAGCAGACTTGTTGATTATCTGATTGCAATGATAAGGGCCAGGCAGAAGTCAGAATCGGGGGCATCTGCATCTCGTCGGCCCCTTTCATTGGTCCTGGCACGCCCACCTCCCAGTCTTCCTAAGCAAGCTGCCTCCAGCACTCAAACCTCAAGGTGCCCTTCATTCCCCACCCTCTTGGCATCACCCTTTGGCTCTCTCCACTAATTAACCCATCTGGGGACAGGCACCTAGGCCCTTACTGGTACCTCAGTTTGAGCCAAACAGCGAGTCAGGGCTGGGTAAGCCCTCCCCTGACTCCGTCCCTGGACCTCTGAACAAGTACAACCTTGACCGCGTCTTGAAGGGCCAGGACAGTTTGGCTAGCCCATCTTGTACCCTGGAGAGAGTGGGCTCCTGACTCCCCGCGGCCACAGGTGGTACACTGTAGAACTGCTCGACAAGGTCTTCTTGGCTCCTAATCTTTATGGAAGCAGATCACTGGGTCTTTTCCCTAGGCATCGCTGGAAGGGTTTGAACTGCCAACCTTTAGGCGAACAAACCATTTGCTCTGCCCAGATTTTTTTAGTGATCCTTACACCCCAGCTTTTCTGGAGTCGGTGATATGAGCCAGTCACCTACTGAAAGCCCTGGTGATTCTACTGTCTTGACAAGGTAAATAATAAGCCAGGGCAGGAAACATAGCCCTTCGTGCACGGTGTGTGCTCCATAGGGGAAGGGCAGTTCCCTACTCTCTTCTGCACCAGGTCCTGGTCCCACTCAGATTTTGTTCCTACACGGTGGCCAGGTTGGTCTGTTTAAACCAAAAGTTGTACAAGTCACTTTTCCGCCACAAGATTGTTCAGCCTTTGTCATCTTCTGGAGGGTCTGGTCCCAGGCCCTTAGCAAAGTCCTGCCATGACTTGGGGCCTACCCCTTTACTTGGATGGTCTCATTCCCACATGCCCTGGACTAGCAGCAGCCAGCCCTAGCAGACCTTTGGCAGTCTTTAGAGAATACACCCTGGCAACCTAAAGAACCCACCTCCCACTGTCGACCGACCGCAGCACATCAAGTCTCTTCTAATCTGAAGTCACACAACGCCAAAAAACTTAAGTCACCTTGACGTGGCAAGGTCATTTATGTTACAAAGCTAAGAGTCCAAAGCAATGTATGAAATTAGAGAGGGGAAAATGCTAACAAAACAAATGCTATATTAAATTGCATTCATATTGTAGTAACAACTTCCTGTAAAGCTTGAGTCACACATCAGTCTTTTCGTTTGGGACTCAGTGGGCTATCCTCATGAGATCCAGCCTCACATCTGGATGGGTCCTTAGGGATTACTGTGTAATTGAAGGGAAGAAATTATGAGGCAGACAAAATTTTGGGGTGCTCACCTCCCTGAGTTCATTGCAGTGCTGGGGGCAGTTAAGGGGGGTGACAGTCCCCTGAGCAGTGAGAGCAAGAGCAACATGTCTGATCCTATAGATCAGCGGCTCTCAACCTGTGGGATGCGACCCCTTTGGGGGGTTGAACGACCCTTTCACAGAGGTCACCCGATTCATAACAGTAGCAAAATTATGGTTATAAAGTAGTAACGAAAATAATTTTGTAGGGGGTTTCACCACAACATGAGGAACTGTATTAGAGCATTAGGAAGGTTGAGAACCACTTTTGTCTATAGTATAAAGCTTCCAGGCAGACAGCAATCAGCTAGGTACTTGTACGAGGAAACATTATAAAGCAGCACTATTATGGGAGGATACTGTGGGGCCTCATCTCAATTGTGAGAATGTGATCGGGACTCATCGCTAATTCACAAGGGTGAAGGCCTCCCTCCACCCCCAATCCTGGCCTCCCAGGCTTCTTAAATATGAGAATAGAGAATTTGTCTGCTTGCACTCTCTTCCCATTCCTGTTTCCCTCATTCATCCTGCTCTTTCCTGGGCAAAGCAGAGCTCAAGAGGTGTCTGGTCAATGGGGCGTCCTCATGGAGAGAAAGACTCCTTCGGCTCTGAGAACAAAGGCCTACACTCAGCAGAGGGCTAACCCAGGAACTTCGGAAAGAAAGATGCTCACGGACCCCAGCCTTGAGGTCCTGAGGTCAGCTGTGCCCTGGGCCTGCTGTCTGGCACCTGGGGTGCCCCTCTATCACAATGTCTCCCACATACGCTTCCCTGCATCATGTGAGGTAACAGGGCCAGAAGGGTGTGAGGTCACAGCCTGTGTCCTCTTACATCAACTTGCACTTGCTTTCTGGGGCATTCCTTAGTTGCTTAAGTCAGTGTAACAAACACTTCCTGAGTGAGTTTCGAAGGTGCCAGACGCCCTGCTGGGGAGGGCTGTGGTGTCAAAGATGACGAATGTGGCCCTGGTGTGGGAGAGCTCACTGTAGCAGGGCAGATGGCCTCAAAAGGAACACACGAAACACAACCAGTGTGTAAGTCTGGGAGGAAAGAGGAGCCCTGGGGAGGCGGAACCTGGACAAACGGAGTCAGCCGGGTGGGCATATGGGAATGGGGAGGGGGGCCAGAGACCACTTGTCCATCATGTCTATGGACTTCTCCATCATGTGAGACAACTGGGGACCTGACATGGAGGTGAGGGTCAGGGCAGGGAAGTCGTCCCAGCTTTTCCAGCAGTGCCTCCACCCTGCTGGGAAACGTGGGCTAAGCTTAGCTTGTCTCTAGGGCAGTGGTTCTCAACCTGCCTCATGCCGCAACCCTTTCGTACAGTTCATGTTGTGCTGACCCCCAACCATAAACTTATTTTCATTGCGACCTCATCGCTGTAATGTTGCTACTGCTATGAATCAGGTGACCCTTGTGAAAGGATCGTTCAACCCCCAAAGGGGTCACGACCCACAGGTTGAGAACCGCTGCTCTAAGGGGAGCCTGTGACTCTAGTAGGCCTAGTACTTCAGCACCATGAATCAGCAACCAGGGTCAGTGAAGGTCCTAAAATAGCTGCCATGATTCAGAAGATCTAAGAGCTATCCCCCAACATACTTGCGTGGGAGCAGCCACATGCTCTTGAGCAAGACACAAAAGAGTGGCTCTTTGGGAGGCAGTCCTGATTTCTAAAATGGAAGCCAGTGGCTGCAGGCCTCGCCCAAGGCACAAACCAAGTCCCCCTGGGTGAAAGCTGCCTCTGCAGTGCCTGGTCAGTGACCTGCTCAAGGGCCGGCTGGAGACAGAGGCAAGGCGCCCAGGTCAAACCCTGCACTACCCCCAACAGGACAGCAGGCCTCAGGAATGCTGAGCGGGAGCAGAGATCCTGGGACTTTCAGAATTCAAACCTGCGTTTGTTGTCTCGGTCCAAGAGTGGCTCAGCAGTGTGACCATGTCTCCACCCTGCCCCCCCCGCCCCCAACCACTTTCAGAAACAGCACACTGTGGGAAACTAAGAAAAGCCAAGTGCCTGCCTCCCCCTACGATTCGGCCAGGCACACAGGCTGATAACAGGGCTGCCCCCAGCAATCCCAAACAGGCCAGGCAATTCCAGGCACCTGATGCCTGGATTTAATAGACACGTGCAGGGACAAAACTAAGTGAATCGAGTAAGATGTCTTACATAGCCTGGTCACTCAGACCTCCACCAGCCCATGCGTCCACCCCAAGGCCTTGGGTTCTCCCTCTTCAAACCAAATCCCAGGCCAATTGCCCACCCCCATTAAACTTGCACCGGGGCTGCTGAACAGCTGTAGTTGACTCTTGCCACTGAAAGGGGGCTGGGGGCCCCGAGCCATCTGCTACTGCCAGCCCTCCTCGCCTCCATTCCTGCTCCCTTGCTGGGCTCCCCAGGCACATGGTTCAGCTCCTTTGTGGGGAGCAGGAGGGGCTTCAATAAAGCTCAAGGTCCCAGTTGCCAAAGGTCAGCCAAGGCACCTGCGGGCCATGTCAGCACACCTCTGAGTGCTCTGCAGACTACCAAGAGGCTCAGATATGGCCCTGCCTGCGAAAATGTCCAGAGATCAAGAAAGCTGAATAGGCCTTGGATGTTGGCAGTTTAACGGGAGCATTGTCGCTTGGCACTCAGGAGTTCAACAGACCCCATGTACAGCCAGCTCCCCCATCTGCCAGTGGAGTCGTGGGGGCTGCTAGGACGGCCAGGAGGCTTTAGCAGCGCTTCCAAACTGGGACCGGCTAGGAATCAGGGCCACAAATTAGGCAATGACCCCCGTAGATGTGCTCTGGGATCATCTGCCATCAAGGAAGGCCGTGGCACAGGGCGGGGCCTCCGTGGCTAACCCGAGGACAGTCAACAACCACATCACCGACAATGGTTCCCAGCTGCCCCAGCGGATTCTCAATCACCTGGCCTGCTCCTGGTTTTCTCCTCCCTCTCCTGGTCGCCCTCCTACCTCCCTGACTGGCCTTCGAAGTCAGTTCTTTCACCAAAGAGCACTGAGCTTTCTTCCATCTTTTTCCTCTTCTCGATCAGCAACTAACCCAAAACACCAAACCAGTTGCTGTCGAGCTAATTCAGACGGATGGCAACAAGCTATTGACCAGAGTGTGCCCCATAGGGTTTTCAGGGGCTAATTTTTTGGAGGGGTGGTGCTGGTGGTGTGCGGGGGAGAGTAGGTGAAGCAGATTGTCAAGTATTCCTTCTGAAGAGTCTCTGTGTGGGTTTCATCCACCAACCTTACAATCAGTAGTGCAATGCAAGCCATTTGTACCACCAGATACCTGAACAGCAAGGAAGACCTCCTTCAACACTTGAAAGTCAGAGCCAAACTCACTGCCATTGAGTTGATGCCCGCTCATAGTGACCCCGCAGGACAGGGAAGAGCTGCCCCTGAGGGTTTCACGGGATTAGAAGGCTTTGTCTTTCTCCCATGACGGTGGCTCCAAGCTGCTGGTCTTGCAGTTAGCAGCCCAATGTGTGACTCCTCTGCCACCAGCACTCCCCCCACCCCCCTACACCATGGCTCTCAGTGTTGACCTTTCTCCTGAGTGCCCTACCCAGACGTCGCACTCCAACATGCCCCAGCACCTCACGTTCAACATGCCACGTCTTCACTCATCTCCTCCTCAATCGGGTCCTCCCCTTTATGCTCTTGGGTTTAAACTAGCACCTCCAATTCCAATGTCCCGTATTTCATCAGTCCACAGTGCTGGTCATGATTCCTCCACCTTCACGGTTGCTCTTAGTTCAGTTCTACCCTGAAGTACTTCACCCTTAGGTCCCTCTCATCCCTCCACCCCATCCTCCCAACACTGTCACCAGTCCAGAAACCCACCTTTATTCCTGTTTCTTCACTTTCGCTGGCATCCAGATGGCCTCCCAGTCTGGTTCATTCTTTCTGCTTCCTCCTCCTTCTCCTTCCCCG